TGAGATGTTTCAACAAACGTACGCAGTGTTGGAGGCACTTACTCATTTATGCCAAGAAATTTGGAAGAAAGCTATCTGGCCAATTGACTGGAAGAGATCTCCATTTGTGCCCATTTCAAAGAAAGATGATCCCACAGAATGTGGAAATTATTGAACAGCATCATTAATGTCATACACAAGTAAAATTCTGATGTAGATAATTCAAAAATGGTTGCAGTAGTATATTGATAGGGAACCTCCAGAAATTAAAGCTGGATTCAGAACAGGATGTGGAATGAGGGATATCATTGCTGATATCAGATGGATCTTGGCTGAAAGCAAAGAATACCAGGTGTTTACCTGTGTTTTACGGACTATGCAAAGACACTCAATTATGTGGATTATAACAAGTTATGGATAACACTGTGAAGAACTGGAATTCTAAAATATTTTATTGTGCTCATGAGGAGCCTGTATAAAGACCAAGAAGCTGTTCTTCAAACAGAACAAGGGGATCCTACATGGTTTAAAATCAGGAACGGTGTATGTCAGGGTTGTATTCTTTCACCACACTTACTCAACTCTATCTGTATACTAAGCAAATAATCCAAGATACTGGACTATATGAAGAATGGAACATCGGGATTGGAGGAAGGCTCATTAACAACCTGTGATATGCAGATGACACAATTTTGCTTGCTGTAAGTGACAATGACTCGAAGCACTTACTGATCAAGATCAAAGACCACAGCCTTCAGTATGGATTACACTTCAACATAAAGAAAACGAAAATCTTCACAACTGGACCAATAAGCAGTACCATGATAAATGGCGAAAAGGTTGAAGTTGTTAGGGATTTCATTTTATTTGGCTCTTCAATCCACATCCATGGCAGCAGTAATCAAGAAATTAGACGTCATATTGCACTGGGCACATCTGCTGCAGGGGACCTCTTTAAAGTGTTACAGGGCAAAGATGTCACTTTGAAGACTAGTGAACCTGACGCAAACATGGTATTTGCAACAGCCTCATATGCATGTGAAAGATGAACAATGAATAAGGAAGTCCAAAGAAGAGTTGATGCCTTAGAACTGTGGTGTTGGTGAAGAATACTGCATGCACCATGGACTACCAGAAGTACCAAGAAATCTGTCCTGGAGGAAGTGTAACCAGAATGCTTCTTGGAAGCAAGAATGGCCAGACTTCACCTCACCTACTTTGGTCATGATGTCAGAAAGGACCATTACCTGGAGAAGGACAGCACGCTTGGTAAAGCAGAGGGTTGGTGAAAAAGGGGAAGACCCTCAATGAGATGGACTGACACAATGTCTCCAATGACAGGGCCAAGCACAGCAAGGACTGTAATGATGGCACAGAACTGGGCAGTGATTCATTCTGTTGTATACAGGGTCACTATAAGTTGGAGTCAATGCAATGGCACCGAACAACACAATAAGCTTTGACAGTAGTTTAAACCTTTCATCTTTGCTCTTCTCAAGATTGGTTTTGTTACTCAAGGTCACCTGCATTTCCAGATACAGTTTAAAATCAAGTTTTCAATTTCTACTCAAAAATCCTACTTGAATTATGCTTGGAACCATGTTGAATCTATGGATTAATTTGAGAAGAAAGGATACCTTGGCAATATTTAATCTCTCAATTCATGAATATAAACTCTCTCTTCATTTACATAGGACTTAAAATTTTCTCAGTGGGATTTTGCAGGTTGCATTGTGGAGATTCTGCACATCTTTTATTAAATTTATCCCCAAATATTTTATGCCAAATATTATCCCAAATATTTTACTACTATAAATGAAATACTAAAATTTCATTTTCTAATTTTTTTTGCCAGCATATAGAAATACAGATGGATATTTGTATACTGACCATGTATTCTGAGACCTTGCTAAACACACTTATTAGCTCTTGTAGTTTTTGATGGTTTCTCAGGATTTTATATGTAAATAATCGTCTCATCTTCCAACAGGGACATTTTATTCCTTTTCCCCCAATAGTTATGCCTTTTCTTTCATTTGCTCACCATCCTGCTCTGGCTCAGACCTCCAGAACGACAATGACGAGAAATGGGCTTCCTTGTCTCGTTCTAATCTGAAGTGTTTTGCCATCAATACTGTGTAAACTGTAGTTTTTCAAAGCTGGTCTTTATTAGGTTAAGGATATTTGATTCTGTTTGTTTAGAGTTTTTATCATAAATGGTTATTAAATTTTCTTACAAGTTTTTGACCACTATTTCTTTCCTACCTTTTTTTTTTTTGGTCCTGTTTTCTCTCTCCTCAACCTCTGGGATTACAAAATAAGGTCAATTTATTGAAAATTCTCACAGATCCCAGAGGCTTCGTTCATCTTTATCCATCACACTTCTGTTCTTCACACTGGGTAATTTCAATTTATCTGTATTCAAGTTCACTGATTCTTTTGCTGTTTAAAATCTGCTTTTAAGTCCATCTAGTGAATTATACAGGAGCTCTGGTAGCATAGTGGCTAAGGCACTTGACTGCCAACCAGAAGGCTGGCGGCTCAAACCCACCAGCCACTCCTCGGAAGGAAGGTTGGGCAATCTGCTTCTGTAGTGATACTGCCTCGGAAACCCAAGGAGGGGTTGCTATGAGTTGGGTCCAACTCGATGGCACATAACAACAGTGAATTATACAAGGAGCTCTGATGGCATAGTACCTAAGGCATTTGACTGCTAACCAGAAGGTTGGTGGTTCAAACCCACCAGCCACTCCATGGAAGGAAGACTGGGCAAGTAAAGATTTACTGCCTTGGAAACCCAAAGGGGGTCGCTATGAGTCAGAATTGACCTGATGGCAGTGAGTTTTGCTTTTTTTTTCTTTTAGTGAATTACACATTTGAGCTTCTGTAATTTTCAATTTTAGAATCTCCATATAGTTTTCTTTTTAAAAATCTTTTCTTAGGGGGGACCAGTTTTGGTGGTCCGATAGAGCCTGGGGGAACCACTGAGACTATGGTCCCTAGCTACCCTTTTGATCTGTAATTGAACCCACACCTGTGGCTTCCAGCCAAACAAAAGACAGGCATGAGTTGAACATTTACCTCAGGTAGATACACTCCTTGGAGAGAACAATCATGGGAGAAAGAAGGGCTGCTTATGTACAGGAAGACAGCTCAGGGGGCAGGAGTGCATGGAGGGATGGGCACAAGGTAGAGGTAACTATTGGGAGGAAGTAGGAAGGGAGCTGTTACACTGTGGTAAATTACGGTCAATGTCATGAGACAAAGTGTATGTGAACTTCTGTATGGAAAGTGAATTTGCTCTGTAAATTTTCACACAAATCACACTAAAAAAAAATTTTTCTTTGTAAAACAAAACATGATACAGAAAACCAAACAAATCAAACGTGCACCTTGAGAAATTACTATAAAGTGAACAGCAGTCAAGTCAAAATATAGAAGTAGGCCAATTATCCCAGAAGCCCTTTCTCATGTGTCTCATTTCAATTATAATCTTTCCAATTAAGTAATCATTATCCTAAAATTTTTATAGTGATTACTCCTGGTGGGTTTTTTAATGTATTTATCATTTTTATCGATACAGAATTTATCTATTATAAAATCTACCCTTTTAAAATGTACAATTGCGTGATTTTTCGTTTATTCAGAGTTGTGCAACCGGTTATCCCACTAATTATAGAACTTTTTCATCATGGTTCCCAAAGACCTCCATATCTCTTAGCAGTCTCTCTTCATTCCTTGTATTTTCAAAAATATTTGTATCACCCAAATGTAAATCCCCAAGGCAATTTTCTTCCTGTTCATTTTAAATAAGTTTGGTATTTCTTTTTAACTCTTTTTTAATCAACAGGTATGTCCTCCACTCTTTCTCAATTCCTGTTAAAGAATCCAGGCAGGCTGTTTGATCTACAGAGTTTACCACAGTTTGGATCTGCTAATAGCACACTCTTGGTGCAGTTCAATATGTTCCTTTGTCCTTTTAATTTCCTGAAAATTGGCAAAAGTATCCAGAGAATGGATCAGACTCACATTCAATCCTGTTGATGAGATTATATGAAGCATTTGGCAAAATTATAAAATGCACATGTCTAACTGTCTCCCTTTGTGTGACCTGAGAAGCTGCTGGTGCTTAGTGCTTGTATTTATTCATTTATTCACGGGGGTTGCAAGATGGTCGTATTCTAATTTTATATTTTCTTTCTCATTTATTCCTTGGAATATTTGAAAAGAGATACTTCCCCTAATCTGTTTGGTTACCCAGTGTATGGTTAATATACTAAAGGTAGGACAGACTCTTGAGTCTTCCTTTTACTTACCAGTTTTCAATGTAACCAATAGGTTCATCCTTGAAGATGACCGATTTCTTTCTTTTAAAAATATGATTATAAACTCATGGAATTATATTTATCTGAGCAGTCTAAACTCACTGCAATTATACTTGTGAAGCATAAAGTATCCTGTCTGCAGGATCTCTTTAAGTTGGTTTCTGAGCCTTCTGCCATGACCCCATGTAATCCAGGTGTGTTTTTGTGAATTTCGTGGCCCAGATCTATAATCAGTCAATTCTCCAGGAAGTCCTCATTTCCTTTAGTGAAAATTTGTATTTCAAGATCATAATTGTGATGCTAGGAATAGTCATTGATACTAAGTTGGTGATTATTTCCAGTCTTTTCAGTGGACAGAACTAGGGCAAATAAAAAAAAATATATATACAAAGAGAAAAAACTTTATGAGCTCATGTTGATACTTCCATTTAAAATCTGAGGCTATGGAGCTTTTACTTAATCTCTATTTCATTTGTTAGTTGTTTGCTTCCATCCTGAGAATCCTGTTCTCAGGGACATAGGGATGATAGAATGAAAAGACCTCATAATTACACACTTGTTTTATCCCATCACACGCACAACAGTCTCAGAATAACAACAAAAAACACTATGAGCCAAATTATTATTTTTGCAATCACAGAAAAATAAACTTCAAAAACCAAAACAAAAAACCCAAAATGTGTGTGTGCGTGCGTGCGTGTGTGTGTGCATACACTAACGCTGTTTCCAGGTGCCTGATCCTGTGATATGATGAGCAAAACGATCTCAGAAAAATAATCAGGGACTTTGTAAAGGCAGCTAACCTGACCCAGATGAGACCTGTATATTTCTTTAGTCATTTACTCCAAATATATCCATATTCCAACCCACATGCCTAAGCAGCAGTGGGACATGTCACCC